CTTGTTGAATTAAAATCCTAGTGAGAGAAATCATCAAGAATATGGAAGAGTTAAAGGGAATTGGATCGGAACCTAGAGTTGTAAGAAGGGTCATATTCTTAAATAATGGGGGAAAACATGAACTAGGGCAACTTCTTAAGAGTTTTCTCTCTGTGAAAGTGAGCCTTCTATTCCAAGAAGATCAATCGGTAGAAAACACAAGAGAAGTTGAAATGGGAGCAACCTAGTGATTGCTAGTGATAACTATTCCTATGTAAGATTTGTGCAAGATGTCTTATAGAATAAGTTAGTAGAGACTCTAACTACTAATCCTGAAGCTTAAGAAAGTCTTATTGTAAAGGAAATTGATGTTTAAAAGAGAGGCCAGTAGCCCGACCAAAGTGGCTCAGTGGTTGAACGTTGATGTATGAACCAGGAGGTCATGGTTCATTACCGGTCAGGGCACATGCCTGGGTTGCAGTCTCCAGCCCAGTAGGGGGCCTGCAGGAGGCAGCCAATCAATGATTCTCTCTCATCATTGATGTTTCTATCTCTCCCTCTCCCTCTCAGAAATCAATTACAAATATATATATATATATATATATTTTTTTTTTTTTAAAGAGGCCAATAGAAATAACAGCTTCCATGCTTTAAGATTTTGCTACATGTCTGACAATGAGTGAGGCACTTTGCATACACACAAACATATCTATCTTGCGAGTTATGTATTACCTTCAGTATATAGATACATATGCTGTCTCAGTCATTAGTCTCCTTCCCTCTATCGTTTGTCCTTTAATCAGAGTACTGTCTTGCTTGACTTTGGGCAGCTTAATTCATCTCCAGTTGCAGTTTAGAACCTGAGGAAATGTAAATTCTCCAAGCAGCCTCTCCTTCAAACTCCCCAAAGTAAATTTTGTTCCAAAACTAATTCAGGAGGCGTCTCCATAAAGTTGCTGGCCAGCAGTACTTGAGCAAGGACAATCAAAGATAACCTTTCTTTGGGGAATGAATGAGGTCTTCATCTCTAGGTATGCTGGATATCGTCTCATTCCTTCCAGATTACTCTCCTCTCTCCTGTATTTTATTCTCTATCCTTGGAGACTAACCTGCATGAATTTCATTAATGGGCTCCCTGCACTTTGGCTTCATAATGGATTCAGCCAATAGAGAACTCTGGCAGAAGACTGGGAGGGAAAAGATACCACTCCCCTGGGGTCACCTGGGCCTAGCTGTATCCTTTGATTAAAGGTCACTGCTTTTCTCAAGGCCATCTCTCCTTCCAGCTCCTAGTAACCGCTACCCTTCTTTGTCTTTTCAGGCCTAAGGCTGTTACTAGCCTCCAGTTACTGACCCATCCATCCCTTGCCCACAGTTTTTAAAAATAGCCCTTCATGCCCTGGCTGGTGTGGCTCAGTTGGTTGGAGCCTCATCCTATACACCAGAAGGTAGAGAGTTCAATTCCCCATCAGGACACATGTGCCGGTTGCGGGATCAGGGTGTGTACATGAGGCAGCCCATCGGCGTTTCTCACATCGATGTTTCTCTCTCTCCAATAAATTAAAAACAGCCCTTCATTATTTAGAGAATACCATCTATTTCCTGTTTGGACCCTAATATACCTGGTAAAAGTAGGTGATCTTTTGGATTCATAGGCTCCATATGTTTCATCCATGGACTTGAACTTTTCTCTCATACATGGAACCTTACATTTTTATGAGTCAACAGCACTAAAGGGTCAGCTGCCGAATTAAGTAGCAGAGAGTGACTCATGCCTGTGTGGTTCCCAAGTGTGGGGTAGTGGCATCAAGGGGACATAAATCTGAGAGACAATAATAGCTTGGACCCCTGTGGCTTAGCTCCCCAAGAACCCAAGATGCTTAACAGCTTTTCAAGCTTTGTGACTGTGGAACCTTCTGTGGTTCAGGTCCCCAAAGCCTTCCACAAGCTGATGAACTCTGCCTACTGGGGCCCTGGTTTCTCCATAACCTCCCAGGATACCTCTGAGAAATCAGCTTAGTGATCCCTCAGGATGACAACTTCATCCTCCTTTTGGCACATTCTAGTTTTTCTAAAGACAAAGTTTGAGCTGATATCCTAATTTTTAAAAAAGACTGTCAGCCGATTCCTTAATTGGGGTCATGTCTATCCCTCTATTGTCAGTGATACTACTTTCTTTGAATTCATCCCCTTAATTTATTATTCACACTGTCTGTCAGGATGAGGTATATCATGAGTATTAATGAATTGCATACTTGGTAGTAGTCCATTTGGGGCAAATACCCATTTCCCTCAGAGCACTTAATTTAAACCCATATATTTATATGCTGCTTTACAAACCCATTGCCACATGTTCTTTCCATACTTTACAAAATAAATTGAGGCTTAGATATGGCAGCTGCTTTACCAAGGTCACACACAAAAATATTAACTGGCTAAGCCCAAGGACTGTTGCTCTCACTGCAACATAGTTGCTTTCACTCGCTCTGAGAAGGTTCTGCACCCCCAGAGAAGTCTCCATGCTTTATAGATAAGTGACCGCCCTTCACAACTAAACTGAAACCAGGACTTCAACCTGTAAATGGCTGCTGCCTGCAGGCACAGGTTCAGTTTCTCTTGTGCTTCTCTTTTGGGTCTGTATTTAAACTAAGGATCACTTATACCCCTTTCCCTGTCCCTCAGAGGCGTGTGAAAGGGGTGCATGCAGCCTTAAATTTTTTTTCTTTGATCTGGCTTTAACACCTTGGGTTTTTAAAAAATATATTTTTATTTATCTCAGAGAGGAAGGGAGAGGGAGAGGGAGGGAGAAACATCAATGATGAGAGAGAATCATTGACCGGCTGCCTCCTGCCCGCCGCCAGCGGAGCAGCAGCCGCCCTGACCAGGGACCTCCTGGTTCATAGGTCCAGGCTCACCCACGGCGCCCTCAGCCGGCTGAACACCTTGGTTTGAAGAGGATAATGAAGCCGGGTGACTGGGGGGATTCTCCACCCCGTCCTGGCTCTCCTCCACCATCCGGGAAGCTAGCAGTGGTTTCTAAGCATCTTGGTTAAGGAAGGCACCTAACGAAGGAAAACAGACCTAGAGGCCCTCTGCAACCTCCACTCCAACCTCCGAGCCGGTGCCACGAGCTCCACGCAGCGCAGACTCTGGAGGGCAGTGTGGCCGGCAGGCTGAGGGGTGCGCAGTGTCCAAAAGGCATTTCAAAACCTGGAGGGCAGAATCTGTAAGTGAAGGTTGTGAGGATCCAGGGAAAACATTACTCAGTGGGAGGTCACAAGTGAGGAAGAGCCTGCGCCTGAGTTTGGAGGAAACCACGTCACAGCCACCATGCTTTCTCCTTTAGAAAGTTTTTAGACATTGTCGTACGTGAGCCTCTCAAACAACCCCATTTTTTTTTTTTAACATGAGGAAAACCACTTAGGGCAGAGCTTTGACTTGTCAGGTCACAAAGTAGAAACAATCCCAGGGTTCTTCAAGTTGTTCTTAGCGGTTTCCCGAAGAAGGAAGGCATGAACGCCTAAAGGCAGCGAACCGGAGGCGTCCTTAGCTGCAGGGCTTGATCCGGCCTCCAGGCGGCGCCAGCGCGGGGGGGCCTAGGGCTCCAACCGGGCGGATAACTCCGGCCACGCGCGGGCGAAAAACACGATTTGTAAATTCGCAAAAGTAGCCACAGCTGGCGCGAGGCCTTCAGTGTCCTCAGCGCGAGGTAGTGGGCGGAGCAGGCGGTCCCGTTCGCCCCTCCCATTGGTCCCCGGGGGTAACTGACAGGTATCTACAGCCAGTCCCAGCCGGAGGCACTTCATGACGATCGCGTGCAGCCCCAGGCGTGGCGAGACGCCGCGCATGCGCACGATGACCCCCGCGCTCGACACCCCTCCGGCTCCGCGAAGGGAAACTGCTCCTCAGGGAACAGCTGGGGCCGGCCCCGGGCTCCAGCGGGACCGAGTCCTTTGCGGTTTTTTTGCAGCGTCCCCCTCATGCAACCTAGACCCTTGGAATTCTCTTTAGGACAAGATTTCCTGAGGTGAAAGTTAAATCACTTACGGGGCGGCTTCATTTTCTTTCCCCAAAAATAACCTCCCCCACCCGACGGGACAGGCCAGGAAAAAGTCCCTTACCTCAGTACAGAAACGGGCTCCTAGAGCCCTCGCCCCCCCCCCCCCCCCCATTTACCTGGGGGCCCCCCCGGGCCCGGAGGCACCGCCCCCCCCTTTTTATTTTTCAACTTTTGGGTTGGATATAAGAGAAACCTTCTGGGACCCAACCTTCGGGGATACCTGGACTACCCATTATACGGGGAGAGGAAAGAATCATTGTTTTAG